AGCACCAAAGTGCTTCTGAGCATGCCCAGAAGCAAAACTTTAGGTGCCTCAGGAAATTTTGTTTGAACAGTCAGATTCCTTGGGATCCTCCAAGGTTAAGCAACCGTTAAGCAGAGATTTTGAATCTCAGGTTTAGACATAAGCACCTACAGTAGCAGGTAGGCAACACCTTGTTTAAGTCCTTTTATGGACCTACCTGGAAATTCTGATTTGCCTGGATTATTTTAGTCTACTCAGTTTTGGCAGAAAACTGAAGTATTATATCCGTTCAATTTTCTAGCTTGGTCTAGCAATGATCCAACTTCCCCAATATAAAGCTGTACCCCTAAGCCCCTGCTCACAACAATTCCACAATGGAAGGGGTGTTGTCGGAGTCCCGAGTGCAACGTTACAGTCGCAGTGCTAGCACGTCTTGTGTGTAACAGTACCAAGATGGTTGTGTCAAAAGAAGTGTTGCTCTCTGGAAGGCAGAAATGAACAAGTCAGACTGACATTTCATTCTATTAGTGTCCCCGCAACAGTTTCCTTCTTAGTGCCTGATTCTGCTCCCAAATAGGATTGAGTCCCCAATGCAACGCACTTTGTCTTCTCTCATCCCTGGCTGAGTGTTTTCCTTTCTGCTTTGAAAACTTTTCCTATATGTTCTACTTTAAATCTCTTCTGAAAACCTAGCTGGATTGCAAGCAATATCATCTGCATCCCATGCTGTAGCTCTACTGGTCTGGATTCATGCTTGGGTACCTCACAAGAAAGACTTTCCTCTCTTATTGTTCATTTTGTGCAGCTGTTTTTAAAAGCTGTTAGACATCATATGTATTTATGGCACCCTATCAGTTTTTAAAGCAAAACATAATAGGCGCTGCAAAGAGGGAATATTAGTGTTGGAAAGTAAGGTAGCCAGTTGCATGCAGCTGTAGTGCCATCTACTGACTGATTCAGGGACACAATAAAAGGAATGTGTTGGATAAGATTAAGCGGGTTAAAGAGCCATTTTCAGAGCCAAGGAAACAAAGCAGCCCCTGTTACTAGTTACTGTCTTTTCATAGAAAAGCAATGTATTGTTCAACTGTATCTATAAACTAATTAAAGTAATAACTGTCTTGCATCCCTAACTGAAATTACCCAAGGTAGCCATTACTAAGAGTCTTCATTTTTCTTCTACTGATTTAAACAGTAATGTTGGTCCCTGTGAATTCTAACTTGTCATGTCTTAAAAAGGGCACCATAGATATCAACAGGTTAGAGAAAGTTGTCCTGTCTCCAGTTTTGATCATTAAGTCTAGATCCAGAGCATATGGAAGTCAGCGGGAGTGTTTCAAGTGGTTTCAGTAAGATCAGGCTCAAGCCCATTCATGGTTTTCCCAGGAGAGGCATGTTCTGGCAAGACCCTGATCTCTTCCTATGAGATATTGAGCGCTGGGCTTGGCATGGGAACACGCCGAGTTTAAAGTGCCACTTTTTTTTTTTTTTAACATCTGCAAGCATCCTTTATAAATGTTGACGGGCCTAAAGTCCTCTCTGTTTTACTGGGAGGGGGGTTGTCCCTTTGATATTCTCTATTTTTAAATACCTTTATCTACACTATGCCACTGTCGCACTACACGCACCCTGTCTGAGATTGCTCTGTGGGAAGGAATCTCTTTTTTATATGCATTCTCTTCTAATCATCAAGAACTCTGCTCAGGTAACCAAACTAATGGTATCGGCAAAGGAAAAACAGTGACAAACATTACATCCTGCAAACTGGAAATGCAGACTCCAGCGTTGTTTTACCATGTGTTGAATTTTATCTGCGAGCTTGTTTCCCTGCTCACAAGTAAAAGGTTTCTTTGTGATACGAGCTCTTTTGTGTTGTGTATGCATTTAATGCCTGCCAGAGGCACAGATTTGTTTCCGCATTTGATTGACAGATTGAATGCCTATTCTGTAGAGAAGCTGTGTCTAGGACTTGAACGTTTTCTTTTTATGCTCCTTGTCTAGATGCCAAAATGAACCTGGATGATTTTATCAGTATGGATCCCACTGTGGGATGGGGCTCTGTGTTTCTGCTACCTGACTTCGTGCATCATTTTAGCAGACGAAAGGAGACAAAAGGACAGTGACCTCAGTAAATGATCTCTCCTAACATACATTTTTTTTGGTATTGTTGCTTTTGTTGTTTTATTTATAAATTGTTTGTGGTTTATTTGCAAGGGTTATTAATGTATTGGCATATACAAGAATTGGAACAAAGTATAATGAATTGAATAAAATCTCTTTATTTTGATTATAGAACAAGAGTTGAAGCTTACATAATGGATCAAACCAAAATCAATTCTATATCTGTACGACTCCATAAGCATATCGTTACTGTCTTCTATTCTTCAAGTGCCCAAAACTGTGCTAAACGTTTAAACCAACAGATTACTTAAAGAAACCTTTTAGAAAGTACATTTATAAACTACCAAACGGTGTAGTTGGACTTGCTGAATTACTGTCACACTATTTTAGAGGAAATATATGGGATACTTGCTTTAAGTGATAATTATATCATTAGCAATTATTGAAGTGATCTGATTATAAGTTAGTTTTCTGTTTCTTGGAGGACTGTGGCATCCTGGTTGAGAATCACTAGTCTGGAAGGCCTAGGTGCCTAACTCTGGGTTTTGGATTGTGAATCTACTCCAAGTGCCAGAAAGTCTAATTTGTAGGCTCTTAAATCCCTTTTTAGATTTGGTTCAGCATTATAACGCTTAACTTTTGGGTACTAACCTCCAGGCTAGAATCCACAGTACTGAGGGAGGTACCCCACCTCCCCATATAACACATGCAAAGAGTAAGGTGCTTAAGATTTGTGAATTCTGCAAATCAACATTAGATAATACAGTAATCTTTGGTTCCCAGAGCAGAGCACGGACTCTATAGATCAGTGGTTAAGCAACTTTCCAAGGTCATGGGAGAATCAAATTCTAGTTCAAGCTCCAATTAATATTTGCATGGAGTGGAACACTTGTGCTGAGCCCCAGAATTCCTGATAGCTCGGGGGTCATGAAACTTTCTCCCTGCAGCTGCTTCGGCCCTGTGGCAGGGTGCTGCCTGGGTTGGGGGCTGCAGTGGAAAGGGTCTGGTCTCGTTGTCCATGCAGCAGCTCCAGCCCTGTGGTACACTGCTGCCTAGCCAGGGGGGTATGGGAAAGGGATGCTGGGTTTCCCCTGCGAGCCACTGCTGACAGTCACCAGCTGGTGGGGCAGGGTGGGCTGGGGAGAAGGGCCATTCTGATAGCCTCCTGGGAGGCATGCGGGAGTGCAGGCAGGCTCCAAGCTTCCCCCACTGAACAGCAAACATCTGTTTGATTCACTCATGCTCTAACTTATAGCACTTTAAAGCATGATACTTAAGAGTGCTTCCTCTAGGGTTTTTTTGAATGTTTGTATTTAGCCTAAGATGATGCCAAATGTCTGCATAAACATCTGTGCCTATTCTCCAAGGTGCGGGCCGGGGAGCAGTAACCTTGAAAGATGTCAGTACCTGTGCACCCTACAATTTTCTCTGCGAAATCCAAGCACCTCAGAGAGAAGTAGCTTTCCAGTGCAGACTGGCTACAAGTATTAAAGGAAAACTCTGTGCCTTTACTCACCCAGGAGAACACCTTGTGCCATAGGTAGTTCCACTGGAATCACGGAAACAACTTGCATAGTAAGGTGCTACTCCCCATGAGTAAGTAGCAGAACTAGGCTCTAAGCACTCAGCCCCTTAAACCTTTCCTTGGGCTCATCTACACATGCACATCTACTGCACAGTAACCAAAATTACTGCACAGTATGGGCTCACATCTACACATGCAAACTCATACCGCAGAGTAAATATGGCGACTTATGCTGACTTGTGTGTAAATTTAATACTTGCATCATGCAGGTATCAGATTTACACCCAATTAGTTATGATGCAGTAACACATGTGTAGATGCCTTACTGAACAGTAACGTGTATGTGGACTGATTTGGGACTAGCTTTATTCCCAAGTCAGTCCACACACAATGTTAAGGCACTTTAATGCCTGCACATGTAGACGCCGGCCTATTCCCACTTATCATGCAGTAAATTACTGCACAATAATTTTAAGCCAGCATAAATACACATGTAGACATGCCCCTTGTGTGGAAGATCCCAAATTTCTCCTGCCCACTTCTCTGTTTCTGCCCTGCGCTTGTTGAGATAAGACCAAGACTGAGTGCAGCATTCCAAAGGAAGGCCTGCCGTGAATTTATATGTTGTTTCTCCCGTAGCTTGCTCTCTGAATACAGTTTAACCTTTTGCTCCCTTTCACTGTGCCTCACCTTGCCCTTTCCTTTGATGAAATGTATCGCGTGTTATGTTGCCCAATTACTATTATCATATTCACTCATATACCATGCATGCTAAAAAATGAGCCCTTCCAAACTGGGATGTATATTTTAGATGAAGATGATAATTTCTGCACCAGAATGGAGCATGGAGAAGCTGCGATGGCTGCCAGGGGCTGTGCAGTGCTGCGTGCTCCACAGAGCAAGAGAAGAGTCTAGTCATCAGTGTCACACACCCTTCAGCTACAGCAGAGACTTAATCAGTTGGTGCCTTGGGCAAACCCTGCAGAAGAGTAGAAGAAACACTGTTCCAAGAGTGGGGGGCAGTGAGTGCTTCTGAGAATAGGGTGGGCAGTCACACCTATGCCAAGAACTCCTTACACAGACCTGGTTGAGCTGCTAGTGCTGCCACCATGTTTTGCCCACCTCACTGTTGCTCTTAAAGCAGCAGCAGCCTTCCACAGAGGGAAGCACCGGGGTCCCCCACAACTCGGGGATCGCTCGGTCTGCCAGCATCTTGTCTCCTACCTCCCCACCCCCCTGCTGCAGGAGAGGTAGGTAAGCTCTAAGGATCAGGCCCCCTAACCCTTGTGCAACAGGGGGTTAGTTCAGTTTAGTTCTCCCTAATTGAAATGGTGGAAACAGTGGGTTTTTAAAAACCTACTGTTTCATTTTAGGGAGAACTAAAACAAATTAAACTCCTGTTGGGTGTACAAGTACCCTATAAGCCCAGGCTCTATTGGGAGAGGTGGAAGGTTTTAGCCTGCAACTCTTGGGAGCTGGGGAGGGAAGCCTCAGTGACTCCAGACAGCATTAACCTTTGCTGTAAACCTGGAGGGTTGGAAGTAGCTTGTAATAGTGACTAGCCCTATTGTTCTGATTTTTTGTTTTGGAATTAAACTTTAAGGACCAGAGGACTAGGAGTTGCTGTAGTGTGGGGAGGATGCCAAGAGTGGGGTACCTAGCAGGCACCCTCCACTGTGGGGCTGAGATCCAGAGAGCCAGGGTCTGAAATAGTGGGCTTGAGCCTAGGGGCTTCAGCTAGAGGAAAAGGGGCCAAAGCTCAAAAAGGCTGAAGCCCAAATATGGATTGGGGCCTGAGAGGCCCAGAGCTGACTTTGTGTAGAGGGAGAGAGCAAGGTTCCCTCTAAGCTGCGTGCGTGCACAGCCGCGCACAATTAAGAATCTTGCCGTGCACGAACTTTTTAATGCTGCACACCCGCCTGGAGAGGAGCTGGGTGCGGCGCGCGGCAGAGGTACCGGGGCTGGCGTGGGACACTTACTGAAGGTAAGCTCCTCGCTCCTTGTGCAGGGCAGGCAGCGGCTCCTCCCCGAGGCGGTGGTGGGGACGGGGGCTGGTGCAGGCTCCACTGGCTCAGGGAGCTGCTGCATCCCCTCGGGGAGTGAGGAGGCACATGGCATCAGGGCTGGGGAGTGCAGCAGTTCCCTGGAGCCAGCACAGCCTGTGCCAGCCCCTATCCCTGCCTTGCCTCACCTCGGGGAGGAGCCGCTGCCTGCCCTGTGTGAGGAGTGAGGAGCTTACCTTCGGTAAGTGTCCCACACCGGCCCCGGTGCCTCCCTTTCAGTTCAATCAATTGGAGATGATATCTTTTATTAAACCAACAAGATTTTTGGAAAAAAAAATCATTAAAGAGAGTGAGCACACTTTGTCTCTGTTGGGTGATTTTTTGGTTTCTTCAGTTCTTACTGGTGATTTATCCCAAGAAGGCATTAAACAGCAAGTGACTGTTGGAGTGGCAGCTCTGCGTCCAGGTCGCTGCCTTGGGGAACATACACATATCTTGCAAGCTGTGCATCCCATGGCTCTTGGCTGCATTAGGGTGCATCTCCCTTGCACTGGGAAAGGTTCACAAGTTTGGCAAGCTCAGAGCTTGGACAAAGGTTTTATTGCTATCTATCAATTGATTGTGTCTGGCCCATGGCTCGGCTACAGCGCTCCACTGTGCTGCTTTGGGCAGAAGTTAGCATGGAGAAGGGTGGTGGCTGAACCCTGCCCGCTCCCACCTGGACACTCACTCACGGCAGGACACTTACCGGCAGACCACGCTGAAACGGGGAGGTGGGACTGAAGCGGCACGCTCACAGACCGCTACTCCTTAGAGGGAACAGTGAGAGGGAGAGACCCTACAAAGGGGCAGACTGAGAGCCCTGACTGAGGTATGGGTGCACCTCCCCTAGAGGCAGCAAGGAGGCCATGGTAATCGCCCTAAGGCACCAAGGAAGACTACCCCAGTCTCAAGAGCAGCCTCTGAATACATACTGATTACCATCAAGTTGTGGCAGGAGAGAAACAGGAGGGGAAGCAAGCTGGGGAATACGGACAGGAAGGGACAGGGATCAAAGACCAGACGTGTTGCAGGACTGTTTTGGAGTTCCTAGCATGGGTATGCTGCGGGGCACCGACTCCATGGGGAAAGGATGATTCCAGTGTCCTTCCCTTCCCTACAGAGGTGCCTGGGGCAGGTGCCCTTCTTGTCCACCCTAGTTACTCTACTGAGCTGCAGCGCAAAACGCTTCTGTGATGCTGTCGGTGTCAGGGACAATGGGCTGTCCTGAGTTTCCAGGTTTGTAGATCTTGGATAAGTAAAATTTGCCTGGCCTGGGCTCCTGGGAGGTGGAAGCTTTAATTCTCTCCTGTGTTTCCAGAAGTAGTGTCTGTTTGGTATCTGTGTTGTAGCTGTCTACACTGGACAGATGGAGTGATTCCTATGTGACCGAATGAGGGTACACTGATCTGATGTCAAGTCCCAACACACACAAGCCAGTGACAGAACATTTTCACACTTAAATGTCCTTCCTTGACACTCCATTGCTGACCTCACAGTAGAGGTTTGTAAACAATGGAAGTTTCAAAGCCAACTTGAATATGAAATTGTGGAACAGGAAATTATCCACAGACCAGATTTTCTAAATAGGGACTACCGATTCTTATCCCGTTACTTGGATTAGCTTTTTTGGTCTCTATGGGTGTTTATACACATGCTCCAGGACTGGGGTGGGGGTGCTTTAATTAGAGAGGCTCTGAGAGCCTCTCTAAGGCACCCGGAGCATCATGTGTATCAATGTTCCCATACTGAAAAATGGCGGCAGGGATGGTTTAACTAACGCTCATTTGACAAGCTGCCATTTTTCAGCACGGGGATGCTGATACATGGGAAGTTGGAGTCTGTTGGAGTGCAGTAATTACCACACTCCAGCAGACTCAATTAATCAAGTCTCCAAGGTGGCAAGAAGCAATTGTAAGAAGAAGGGTGAATGCTAAAGGCCGTGTATACATATCAAGGTTATCGTCTTTAATCAACTCTGCTCCAATACGCTGTAATTAGAGCATGTCAGAGCAGCCTTGCTGCATGTGTATATGCACCCTCTGTTCCTATGGGTTTTATTACTTGTTTGTCTCACCCAGCACTCCCTCACTTTCCTCCCTTCCCTGTCTTTTGTATTCAGATCACTGTCTCTACTTGATAGCTTGTTCTCTGCAAATCCTTTCATAGCATCTGATGAAGTGAGGTCTTGCTCATGAAAGCCAATGCATGCCTTATTCATTTAGTTTACAATGTATATTTCTACCCTGCTTCATGAGATGGTGTGAGGGAGTGCTGCCCTGAAACACTCTGTCCATTTACCCCTGCTCCACACATACCAATCACCAAAAAACTTTAATGTAGCTGCCATTAGAGCAACCCTGGATGCTTTCAGTGCCACGCTAATAAGCAGATGCAAGACTGGGTGCCTGAGTGTGGTGCTGGGCATCCCTTGAGCACACACCAAAGAAACAGCCACATAAGTTTTCATCTTAGGGGGTGCTTATACACATGACAGGGGTTTAGTCTTCAGGGTTTTATTTTAAGCCCCCTAAATGGAAAGGGTGGGTTTTTAATTGAAACACACCATTTCAATATTTCTGTCATGTTATGGCGAGGGGCTCAATCTTTTTATTTTTTTTTTTTTGAGCCAGAGTCTGCCTATGGCTGTGGGGGATGAGCTGTTGGTGGGCTGAGTAGCCTCTGAGCTGTGGGGGGCCTGGCAGGCTCCCAGTGGGCAGGCTCAGGGAAGAGTTGGATTGGGCTAGGAGCTGCTTCCTAGTGGGGGCGGTACCTGGCCTGCTAGCAGCTTACCTGGGCAGCCCTGGGGGGCACCACCACCGTGGAGGGAAGGACCGGGGACCCCCACAGCTCAGGGGCCACTCAGCCCACTAGCAGGTCACCCTCCAGCCATGGGAGAGGCAGGCAGGCTCCGCTGAAAAAAAAAAAGGGATCAGGCTCCTGTGGTCAGCAGGATGTCCGGGGTCACTTGGGAATGGGCTGGCTTGCTCCTGGGGCAGCATGGGAAGGTAGCAGGAGGGCAGCTGGGTTTGCTGGCAGCTGGAGAAGGCAGTGGGGATGGTGCATGGGGTGCTGGAAGCCCGGGTGGGCTTGGGGAAATGTTGGATCAGGTGCCTCCGAGCTGGGCA